GTGTGTGTGTGTGTGTGTGTGTGTGTGTGTGTGTGTGTGTGTGTGTGTGTAGTGTGGACATATGATGGCCCTTTGGTGGTATCTCCATCAATTTGCAGAATGGCTCCCTCTAGGGTAACCTCTAGGCATGGCACCTTGTGCTTATATTCTTATTTCTCTACAGCTCCCTTCTCCCTATGACTCATGGCTCATTAAATAGGGCAGAGCTTTGTGGTACTCTTCCTGCCTGGGGCTGTCTCCCAGCAGCCCAGGAAGTCAGGAAGGGCATGGCATGAGAAATATGCTTGGAATGGCTGGTGAGCACTATACAGAGATCACACAGCTCAGGAACCATTTCAGGGAGCTAATTCAACTTTAATTCCAGAGAACAAAGGCTGTATACCCCTTGAAGAGTGTGTGGGGGGCTCCAAGGATAGGTGTACATAATGGTTGGAATTTGGCACCTTAGGGATGCTTGATTAACAGCATGCTCCTATCATATGAACACAGTACTTAATTATCATATAGGCTCCGGGAGGGAGGAGCTAGCAGGGAGTTGTGTCAGAGGCTATATAACAAGTATGGTTAGCTAAGGGCATCTGTTTTTAAAGACACTCTCCATATGAAGTAAGGAAGAGGAGCAAGTCAGGCTGAGGGGAGGAACTCCTTAATGCTGAGATCTGGATGGCTATCTGGACTGGGAGGACTGCAACTCCAAACACAGGGTAATTCCAACACAGTTTTGAGCTGAGAACATAATGAGTTTACCATATAATGCTTGGCTTCCTTCCCCCCCCCCTCCACTGTCTTAATCAGAGGGTAACTTGAGAATCACTTAGGAAGGAGATAAGCCTCAGGTTAACCAAGGAGAAGGGGCACAGAAAAAAAAAAAAAAAGCGGAAGGTAATATATTTGTACAGAAAGGTCAAAGCACCCTGCCGTGCAAACCCAATGTCAAAAGGGCCTTGAGGCCCCACATGGCCTTTGGTTTTCTCCCTATACTCACGGAGTCATCTCTTCACTCATTCATTCTTTAAGGGATGGTTTTCACCTGTGGGTGGTTTTCAGGATTTTTTATTTTAATTTTGATTTTTTTTTTTTTTTTTTTTTTTTAGGTAGTGTTTAGCCTAGTAGTTCACATTGGCCTTGAATTCGTGATCCTCCTGCCTCATTTTCCTGAGGGCTGGGATTGCTGTCATGCACCACTGTACCCATGTAGTTTTCAGTTTCTAATAATGCCTTTGAGCAGTAAGCATGGGTGTACCTGTGTAGAGGGACGAAATTGGGCAAGCACAGGCATTCACTGAGGTCACAGTGAAAGAGTCAGACTAACTTTGTAACCTATATGTCTTCTAAAGCCTATAGTTTTGAGTTTTAGGTCCAGGTTAAGCTTAAGTCTCTTAGTACCTTTCCAGAGAATGGAGGAATGTGACCCTATCTGTGAGGACAGATATAAAAAAATCGAGCAAGCAATGACTTTCACTCAGCAAAAAGAATGACAAGATCCTTGTCTTTGAGATAGTGTTTCTTAGCAACCAACCCAGACAGCCTCAATCCTTCTGAGTAGCTCCTGACCTCCAGCCAAAGGCCCGCAGCCCTGATCTTCAAGGCTGAGCTAACCACCCCCACTTTTAATTGAAGCTGCATTCACACTTGGCAGGACTATCCAAGCTTGAGCACCTAAGACTAACCAATTATCTTACTTTAATGCTTCCTCATCCAATCCTAAATTGCCAAGACTGCAACTTCAAATTTCTCGCACTTTGTCTTTTAAAAACCTAAGGCCTTTGTCTCCTGGTGCCACTCTTTGCTGACCAGCAGGGTGACCCCATTGTGCAATGGTTAAAATAAACCTCTTGCTTTTGTATCAAGTTGTGGTCTGTGGGAATTCCTGGGAAGGGCGGGATCTTGAACTCCTGAGCTGTGAGACCCCAGGTCTTACAACAGGATGTGGCATACATTTTTTCTGAACTTGTTTTTACTTTCCCCAACTTACTTTGCCTTTCTATTGTTATTTCAGACATGGTCATGATGGTTCAAGCTTGTAATTTCAGCATTTAGAGGGCTGAGTCAAGCGAGTTGCTGTGACATAGAGAGGCCAGTCTGAGACACAGACAGAGATACATTCTCAAAATTGATGAATAAATAAATATTAAGGAAATAAACTGTGGTATTGATTTGAGCTGTGTTCAGCTGCTGAATTCTTACTCATTTCATGTTTACACGGTGCGACTTATGTTCAATTTCTGCTTTTAATCTTACACAATTTCTTTTACTTTATTTGTTGTGTTGATGGTGCACAGAGAATGACTTTTAGGGATTGGTTCTTTCTGTCAGTCATGGGTTCCAGGAATCAAACTCAGCACTTAACCCTTGCAAACCATCTCACTGGCCCTCTGCTGTTGATTTTATTATTTTATTATTTTAGCAGTACTACAGTTTGTGCACAGGGCCTTCTGAGATATCATTAAGTAAGTGCTCTGCCACTGAGCTCCATCCCAGTCCTACTTTGAAACTTTAAAGTTATTTATCATTATTTTAGGTACATGCATCCATGTGCATTTATACAGGAGTATCTGCATATGTTCAGAGACCTGTGGAGGCCAACAGCACCAGATTCCCCTGTGTCTGGAGTCACAGGCAGTTGTGAGCTGCCCAATATGAGTCCCGAGAACTGAGCTCAGGTCCTCTGCAAGAGCACTATGTGCTCTTAACTTCTGAAACATCTCTCCTGCCCCTGCTTTGAATTCTTTTAAAAAAGTGAACTTTCTCTATCCCATCCTACTTGCCTTATTTTTTTAAAACCACAGACAGGAAGAATCAGATAAGCAGGTAGCATGAAGGGAGGTGAATGTAAGTCCTGATCTAGTATAGTGGGGCTCTGGAGTGAAATGGTTCTGCTTATCTCCACTACTGGCACTTACAGGGATCTACATGAGTGACAAAATCACACACACACACAGGGGGGGGGGAGAGGAGAGAGTATCAGTGCCAACTGGGTGTTCTGTTTTCTACAGTTATGTAAATAAAACCATCAGAGAAAACCAGGGGAAGGGTACCGGACATGTCTCTTTGTTACCTTTGTAACTCCTTATAAAAATAAGATCATTTTCAAAATACATTTCAACCAAACATTGGCTCAAAAACCCAAGAGACAAATGAGCACAAATGTTCCATCTCTGTTTTTCTCTCAAAGCACAATTACTTTCTGGAGAATGAAATAGCCCAAATGTGATAATCTTGTGCACGCGAGCCACCGTAAATTACTACCATGGCTTCTACTAAATTCCTGCTCTAGGCTACATGCATTTTGATTCCCACCTGCATCAGGCATAGTACTTCCTAAGCATCATCACTTTTAGACTTCGTAGACAACTTCAAAAAGGTGTCTTGCTTTACTCAGCCAAAGATAAGAAGTAGATTAGTGTGAGTCCAGATATTTTGAAGAATGAATCCCAGCTGGGCCCCTCCAAACATTCTAGAATTTTGATGGGGTGAGCAGAAGTCTAAAACCCAGCTATCAAAAAATTCCTATCTAACCCTGACTTGGGGAGCTTTGACATAGCCACTGTTCACCCAAGATTTCAGTTCACACTTGTTGGTCCTGTGCTGTGTCCTCTAGCCCCACTCTCTTGGAGTATGCCACCTCAGTTTCCAGTTTACCATTTCTGTGGCTTACTCTGCCCTAGAGTTATCCTAACTTAAAAGAGCCAAGGAGCAGGGGAGCCAGGCTCCAATCATGGTTACTGGCGCCATCCTTAGCAAATCCTAACTGGATAGATACCTCAACTCTATCTGCTGTGTTCCCACATCTCTCACTGTCTCTCTCTCTCTCTCCTTCAATCTCCCCTCTCTTCTCCACACCCCCTTGACCCACTTTCTCTTCTCTCTCCACTCTCTCTTTACCCCCTTGCCCTCTCTCTCCTTCTGTATGTATATATTATACAATATACAGTATCAGTGGGCTCTACTAATCGTATTAAGCCCTGGACTTTTACTGAATTCTTTTGTTAGTTTGAAATATTTTTTTATTTGTCTGTGTGTTTCTGTGTTAAGTATGCATGCCAATATGAGGTTGTTGGATCCCCTGGGGCTCGAGGATAAGATAGTTGTGGGCTTGAACTCTGATCCTCTGGAAGAGCAGCAAATGCACTTAACCACCAAGCCTTCTCTTGAGCTCTTTTGCTGGAGTCATGGTATGAGATCTTTCTCTTTCAATTAGATGTGAAAGAGCACATGGAATTGCTGGCAGTTCTCCTGAGACTGCATGGTAGGAGTTGTGTGGAAGGAGCCTGGGAACACTGAGGTCCTGAGTTGAAGTTCTGAGGTGGCCTCACTGTTTAGGTGCTGCTAAATCTACGTCATGAGAAGAGGTGGACCCATTGAGACTTTAGAAGGTGATTTGCTCACTCTTCACATAAGTGGATGAACTCCCTTGTGTGATGAACGGATTAATGGTTAATGGCTTACTGAGTCATTTTGAGAGCCAGGCAGTTAGGAAAGCCACTTTAGATAAGTACATGCCACAGGACTCTGCCAAAAAGAAGGCTATCGCTAGATGGTGCTCTTTAACCTTAGAACAGAACCATGAACCCAAATAAAGTTTTCTTTATAATTTACCAGTCTCTTCTATAACCTGCAGAGGCCAGCTGTGTTTCTGCTGTCACATGCTCATGAGTGTAAGGACACACAATGGAAGGTGGTGGTCTCACCAATGGCTACATTCCTCAAGAGAACATAAAGTTGAGAAGAGTTGGAAGTGGACCTGGGAGGAGTTATGAGGAGTGAGAGATGAATATAACTAAAATACGTAGATGCATGTATAAAATTCCCAGAGGTTTAATGAAAATGTATTTTAAAACTACACTTGAATCATAGATACGTGGAAAAGAACTTTGTCAGAGTAGAAATTATGGGACTCTGGTGACATGGGTTTTTATTTTTAATTGTTTCTAATAATTGAAGAAATTGAAGTAGAAGGTGTCTAACAATCTCTATTCAAATGTCCCTTTTTAATGATGCAGTGGCTAACAACATTAACTTTGTATCTTGATTCCTTCTACAAATGATGTAATCTTCTGCCTTTTATTCTCTAACTTGTTAAATAAGAAACATAACACATATTTTAAATGAACCTGTGAATGTTAAATTAAGTATTATGACAATTGTTTAGCACTTTGTAAGTTCCTTATGTTTGTGAGCACAAGATAAATTGCAGCCAATGTCATAATTAATTTCACATTTTATTCATTGATTTAACTAAATTTGAGATATTTTCATTCTATTGTGTGTGTGTATGTGTGTGTGTGTGTTCAGGTGCCCACTGAGGTCAGACTCCTTGGATCTCCTCAGGAGCTATAATTACAGGTGGTTGTAAGTTGCCTGACATGGGTCCTGGGAACAGAATTCAAGTCCTTTGCAAGACTGAATGAACTGTTAATGTCTCAACCTCTGAGCCATTTCTTCAGCTCCACTGTGAGATGTTTTAAACAATACAAGTATATTCTGACTTTAAAGTCTGACTCTGAGTAATTTAATGTATCCATTCAGGTTTTGTCCAGAACACTGTGAATATCTTCAAACTTGATCTAAAGTTGAAAGAATTTTTGCAAAGAACAACTTTATACCCACACCTACACTCGGCAGTTTGTATTTTGGGTTGATACTATGTATCTCTCTTCCCATTCTCATATTTACCCAACAGTCTCCATTTTCATGCATTTCAAATTTAATTGAAGACATCAGTATACTTAACTGCTAAACATGTTCGATTGCAAATGAAAGAGATTTCATAATTTGTGTTTTTTCTCTTTTGAACTAAATTTTTAATATAGAATTAGGCCAGTTATTAAAAATACTACAAATAACTATTCATTTGTAGTATTGTATTATTAGCAATAGGAAATACAAAGTGTAGCCCCTGTGACATAGTGTTTATGCCTTTTCCCTGACTAGCCATCTTTCTCTTTTAATTTAATCCAATTGGTTGATATGGGAAGAACAAAGTGGTCTGTGTCCTCTTTCCCACAGAGCAGATTTTCCTTTTTCTCATAGATAAAAAAACTCCAGAATCCAAGATGCATTCTGCTTTGGTCCTGATTCCTGGTGTAGGGTTATGGGAGTCTAGATCTGACTTTAGTGTTTTCTTATATAAACAGGATGCATCTCTCAACTGTGAACCAGGAGCAAATCCTTGTCTTTTTTAGTTCTTTGTGGTTTTCCTTCTAGATTCATACCAAGAGGGGGCCTCTTTGTCAGGCTCCTGAGGGATCCCTTTGTAGGAGTCACATGTAAACATCTCTGCTGTTTAGTCACTGACTGTAAACATCTCTCCACCTCCTTATTTTCCTTCTCCCCATCTTCTCCATCTTGTCTTAAAACCTAGAGTATTGAGCCTGGGAATGTTGCTCAGTGCACAGAATTCTTTGAAGTCACAGCCTCTATGAAGTCCAGTGTTTGACCGGCAACACTGCATAAAGCTGATGTGTCTGTTATCCCAGTGCTTTGGAGGTGGAGGAAAGGAAGATCAGAAGTTCAAAGTCATTCTCAGCTACATAATGAGTTCAATATGGCTACATGGTGGGATCAAGGCAAGCCAGAGACTGCCAGAGACTGGCCTCAAAACAAAAAGAAAGCACACAAACAACAACGAGAGTCCTATAAAGCTAGGAATGCAGTTCTGCTATCACGTGGGTGTAAACAATGGGTTCAGAATCTGTCTGTGTCACCCACTGGAACCTCAGTGGACCTCCACATTATTAGTATTACAATTTTATCTATGAGAAAAAAAACTGAATTCAGAGCATGAAGACCATGGAGAGAACAGGCTGACAACTTTATTGTATGAATTGAGGATTACTGTTGATTGCAGGGTGATCAGACGCATGGTCCTCACAACATGTGCTCCATGACACTCAGCCACTTCAGTTGCTACTGGTACAGTTCTTGTTGAGAATTTTGTATATTTCAAACCAAGGTTTGGCATATACTGAGAAGTAGCACTGGATTTGCTAAAACAAAAGACCCAAATACAGGTTTTTAAAGATGAACAAGAGCTGGACATGGCGGTGCCCAGCAATGTCAGCAATTGGGAATCTGAGATGAGAGGTTCACAGTGAGTTCAAATAGGGTGCATGGTCAGACTCTTTCTAAAATACAAGGCATAAGAGCCAATACACAAAGTAAGAAGGAAGAGCATTTCAAACAGGAAGCTGAGGAAATGGCACTACCTCTTTGCCCTTCCAAACTTGGTATTTATGTGACTTCATTCATGTGACAAAAACAAAGATTATTACAGAGAATGTTCTATTTGTTGTCGGGTTTGGGGTAGCAGAGACGGATCGGCCCGTACTCACTGCTGGGAATTACTGAATCTGTTTTCTCATCACTCTCACTCATGTGGTATTCTCACCCTCTGTGGGTTGCTATTGGATCCGGTTCTCTCTTCTCTCCCATCCTCCCTTCTCCTTAATAGTTTCCTTCCTTCTTTCTTCCTTTTATCTACTCATCTATCCATTCACCCACTCACAATCTACCCTTCTAATTCTATTTACCCACACATTTATCTTCTCTCTTTCCACCAATTCCTTCCTTTCATTTGCCCAAACCGTAACATTTATGTCCTAATAGGAAGAGGGAGCCCAGGAAAGGACGCTTGTGTGTTGAGAACCTCTGCATTGTTATTACTAGGTTGACCATAGAGTTTATAAGCGGGACAAAAACATATTATAAACAAAGGTAAGGCTAATAATGATTACATTAAAAATTTAGACATCAACCCGGAGGCTGTCAGGCAAGGAGAGAGAAACTGTCATCCACCCTCAATGAATTGATCAAATTTATTTGGGTAGGTTAAGAGAAAGTTATGGGGCTGTTAGGATTCTCAGCCTAAAGGTCCATCTTGTGTGTTGGACACAGCCTGACAATGGACACAGGAGTAGTGATGAGGCAGGGCAACACCTGGCCAGCCTCCTGCTGGATCAGAATGAAGTCTGAAGGGGACTGATGTGCCTTCGGAGCTGCGGGCCACTCAGTTGGCCCCTCAGCAGGCCATGCATACAGACTTGTTTTTCTTAGCCCACCCCTACACCAGTCAAATTATTTTCAAATGTATTTCCCCACTTTGGGCTAAAATATGGTTAATAATTAACTGGTTGGCCAGGAGTTGAACCACCCAGCTGTTTGTTCCCCATTGGGTTCTCTTCCTCCTCCTTGTGATTCTTCCAGCACCAACAAAGGATGGTTTAGCCTTTTCCATTCCTAGTTTCCTCTTTGAAAGAGAAGATACCATTCTTGAGATTTTTTTCAAGCAAGCTTGAATAGATCCCAAATAAGTCTGCCCTTCCCTTATGCTAAAACTACTGAAAAAAGATGAAAATGGCTTTGTGTGAATGCACTTGCCCAGCACCTTATAAAGTTCCCCTTTCTGGACATCACAGAGGTTCTTCTCTGTCTTCAAGCAGGTGGTCCTCTGCATTTCCACTCTGATGTGAAACTCCATGTGGTCTGTCAGCTGTGGGCAGCGAGAGAAAGGGAAATGGTGAATAGTCTCTTCTCCCCACTGTGGGTTCTACATGTGGGGCACAGCTTTACCACATTGCTCCACAGCAAGGGCCCAGTCTTTCACAGTTGCAGGATCCCTGCTTTCCTTCCTGTCTGACTCCAGGCCTAGCTCAGTCATTCATTGAGACATCACCAAGACTACTAGAAAACTCATCTTTCTCCATGACACAGGGCTGTGTACAAGTTTTCTTGAATTGCTAGCTAGTACACATGTTAATTTCTGTAGACCATGTGTCTTATGTTGTAACTTTTCAAACTGACCACGGCTGCATGGAAGCTTCAGATGGACACCACACAGCAAGCTCCAGTATCACTGCTTTAAAAGGCACCCAGCTAGAACAGTTATCCCTGGGTGTGTAATTTCTTGGTTACCATTGAAAGGACAGATTCACCCACTCTAGTGAATGCACATTTCTCTTAAAACAACCACTTTCAGTTGGGAAATGGTAGCATATACCTGTAATTACAGTAATGTGGAGGTTGGGGCAGGAAGGAGGCTACAAGATTGAGGCCAACCTAGTCAGTACAGTGAGATACTATCAAAACAAAATCCTGGGATTTTTACCAGAGCACTGGGTCCCTATGTTGAGGAGAGACAGGGAAGCCACACACTCACCTGCTTCTCAATCTTCAGGATGCGGAGGATCCTGAAGTTGTACACGTCTTCACTTTTCTTGTTGTATTCCTCTGTGACATACTCCAACATTTCCTTCACAGAAGCATCCATTGCACTTACTTGTTGGACATTTATAAATGTCTTTCTCTTTTCTTGGTAGCTGAGGGCCACCAGGGTCACCAGAATGGCCAACAGGAGCTGTGGTGCCTTCCAAGAGCTGGCCATCATCCTGCAGCTGGAGAAGATTGGAGAGAGCTTTCAGCTTCACCTGTTAGGTCATACTGGCCACAACTGCCCAAGGTCAGACTTAGAGGAGCATGCAGTGACACCTACAGCTCTCCTGTCTTCCTTCCTGCCTACTCTAGGGACACTTTGCAATAATGACTGGCAAGCTCACTCCCACTCTCAGTCTTTTTGCATAGCTTCTCTCTCTCTTACATGTTTATACCTTCTGGTGGCTGCTCCTTCAGCAACACATACTTCTGTGGCCTGCTATTCCCTCACTGGAAGCCAAGTCATAGGGCTTTTCCCATTGAGCTTATATCATGACGGGCCGTAGAACATTTGAAGGATGGGCAACAGAAGAGACATGAGGGATATTGTGTCTCAGGAAGTATAACATAGCCATCAGGACTGTAGGAAAAAGCTCATGAGGAGGGATCTGGGGAAGCCCTCTCTTTGGCCTGGCTCTTGGACACAGTTTCAGGCAATATGTCAAAGGAGCAGGGGACTAGGAGGAGAGAGAGAAGCAAGGATTTGGAGAGCCTCACTTTGGAAAGCCGGTGACACCTGAGGGTGGCTGACTCCATGTTCTAGAGGTGGGTAGAAAGTTGACAGAGAGGGATGCCAAGAGTTTCCTGCCTGATAAGTTAGGTTTCATCAAGAAAAGATCCCCACAGGAGCCCAGTTTGGTATCAAAGGGCAAGGTCACAGGCACAGAGGCTAGCAGGATGCAGCCTCTTGAGCAGTGCCAGCTCATGAGATGTTAGGAGGAAGCCTGTGAGCAGTGGGTTTCAACTTGAGGATTAAGACCTCTTTGGCAAACCTTTATCTAAAAACATTTACAGAATGATTCATAACAGTTAGCAAAATTACAGTTATAAACTAGCAACAAAAATAACTTTTTGGTTGAGGGTCACCACAGCACTAAGAACTGTATTAAGGGGTCACAATGTTAGGAAGGCTGAGAACCACTGCTGTAGGGTATTGTTCAGAAGGATACAATACCAAGACAGGTAGTGAAAGCTACTAGGGCAGAGGTGCGAGTGTATATACCACACTCCCACTGACAGGCACATATATGCAAACATATGCATCCACACCTCTGCCCTAAGTATGCCTTCACACTGATATATGCATTGACATACAGACACATGTACCTCCATTCCTATCCTAAGTACGTATTCCTATTGAGCATTGTGTAGTTATTTCCTCTGAGCTGGAACACCCTCTTCTTAATGTGGGAGACTCATTAAGACTAAGGAAGCAATAAAAACTTAGAAGTCTCAGGAAGTTCTTGAAGTACCTCCCCAAGGCTAAATAAGCCATAAAGGATAGGGAGAAGATCCTCCACAGTCTTGCTGCCTACAAGTTGTTCAAACAACTCTAAAAGTTTCATGAGTTGTTGTGTATAGTTGATTAGAATTTTCAAGGATGAAGTTGCCTTTAAGTCACCATGCTTCTACAAGTAACCTCTCTTCCATACTCTTGAAGATAATTCCAACAGAGTCACTGGTTCACAAAACTAAGAGGTGAGCTGAAAGCAAGATGCCTTTCTTCAGCCACACATCAATGCTACTCACCTGAGGGCCCCACTGGGTGGAAGTCCTTCTCATAGGGAAGGGTCCAGGGTCTGTGACTTGCACAATCAAGTCATAGACCTATGTAGTGTCCTTTGAAGAACAACATCTTGATATTTTCAACACCAAGAGCACTCACAAAGTAGGAGAGAGTGGAAACAAAAGGTAGGAGTTCACCTGACACTCCTGGTGATATCTGTCTGAGCTTTGGGTCTGTTAGCCAGAGGGCTTAATAACAAGGTTGGTGTCATGATGAGGATGCCTGGTAGAAGAGTCTGCTCATTACATGGCAAATGAGAGGCAGAGTGAGACAGCTAGGAAGGGGCTGGGGTCCCAGTCTCCCCTTTAAGAACGTGCACTCCCTGTGATCCAGCTTCCATTGGTTGTATCATTTAAGGGCTTTATAAGCTCCCAGTAACTCCACAGGCTGGGACCATACATGAGCCTTCAGGGGACATTTAAAGTCCAAATCATACATTATATTTCTTCCCCATGTGGACCTACATCTGTGGAGGTGATGGCTTCTCTTCCTTTATCCCGCATACTACTTCTGTTCTGTGTCCCCAACTTCACCAGCCATGTTTTCAAAGACCTTTCTGTTACCAGACCTAGGAGAAGAATAAGAATAAGAATAAGAATAAGAATAAGAATAAGAATAAGAATAAGAATAAGAATAAGAATAAGAATAAGAATAAGAATAAGAATAAGAATAAGAATAAGAATAAGAATAAGAATAAGAATAAGAATAAAAGAATAAGAAAAGAAGGAGGAGGAGGAGGAGGAAGAGGAGGAGGAGGAAGAGATTGGAAAGTTGCTATTTGGCTCCAGTTCTAGTCCTCCTGGCCTTGGCAGAAATGCAAAGCTGACATCCTTGAGGTGTCCTCCCAGTTTTCCTCTGCCCTCACTGACAGGTTCCACTCCTCTGCCTTACTCTTGGCTACTGGATGTGTTTTCTGGGACGATGATCTCTCAAGTTACCACAAACAACAGCTTACACCAAAGTAAGTTTGCCAAAAGCCAAATCTCCAACCTCTAATTCCCTTATTACTTCCCCTCTGACACTCCATCTCTTTCTCACGAGGACTCTTGTGACTGCATGGTACCTACCACTGAGGTGATCCACCATCTCAAGATCCCTTCGCTATAGCTGCGAAGTCTCTATTACACATAAGCAGTGTATTCACATGTTTGAAAGCTTGAACTGGGCAGCTTGGGTCAGGACCTTCCTCTATCACAGCAGAACAGGTGATTTGTCCTCTGCTGCTTGGGCTTATTCCTTCATTCTGTGATTCCTTCCATTCTTTTTTGGTTTTGTTTTTAGACTGGGATTTGTGGGCTCCTTTTGGTGTCTCTCACACTCTCGGATGACTTCAACCCAACCCCTTCTTAGATGTCTGGCCAGTGAAGAAGAAAAGCAAGAAGCTAGAGACCATTTTGTTTTAATGTTCTCCTGTTCCCCAACCTCCAGCCATTTCACTTTCTAAACATCAGCAATCAATGTAGGTGGCTTTCCCACCTACTATAAAAAAAGGTTGAATTCTTCCCTGGCACCCACATTGATACCTGTTTTCGTAAATAACAAAAGCTTCATTATAACATTCGGTAGAATATTTATGCTCAAGGTTACAGGGACTTGCCTAATACTTGAAGCGACAAGCTTGGGGTTGATCAGCTGGCTTCCTAACTGTGGCTTTAGGTAGGTAAATGTGTAGGGGGGATTCAACTAGTTGGTGTCTAAATTTCTCACACAGCCTCCAGCTCTGGTGTGTTTGTGAATTCTCTGATTTCAGGCAAGAAAGACAGCAGCCATAGCAGGGTGTAGCGGTTCACATCTTTAATCACAACACTCAGGAGGCGTAGCAGATGGCTCTCTGTGAGTTTGAGGCGAGCCTGGCTATGTCCCAGGGTGGCACTCTGCTCTCCTCCTTCTATGAGAGAAGGGCAATAGCCAACAAGGTCCAGCTGTGATGATTTTTTCCAAGGGAGCGTAGCTGATCCTATGAAGATGGTAGCAGTTCCACCTGGAGAACAGTATTGTACAGCACCTCTGTTCAAGCTTTACTCTCTCTTTCTTCTTCAATGATAGAATAATTTTGAATTACATTTTGGACATTTTGAAAATTATCTGAGGGAACAGTGATATTCTTTTTCTATAAGCAGTTGATCATAGCAGTGTTTAGGCTGCAGATTCAGAACCCTCTGTGGGCTGTGGTGCCAGTGTTGGTTCCATGTCACAGCTTTTGAAGTGGTATTTGGATCTGTGCCTAGTGTCCCAGGGGCTAGTCTGACTGGGTGTAGTTCATCCTTTTATTCATTTTCTCATACTGCTTAAGGTTGGATTCACACTGTATAGCTCAGGGAATACCCTCAGGCCTCGTTCCTTACCTCCTCCTATGACCAGAGTCCTAGGCCTGGAATCCTGGGAGAGTCCAACACGATAACATATGATCCTCATTCTGAAGAAGCAAAACACTTTTGTATTGCTGAAACCACAGACTGTGGCCATAGCAAGAGGGATATGCTCACCCTCCTCATTTATCAATATGACAGCTCACAGGTCCCTTCTCTCATCCATCTCTACATGCCAAATATTCTGCTGTATTATGAAATGGCTGAGGATTTTTTAAAAAAGGTTTTTTATTTTAAAAGAATCCCAAATTGTAATAGAGTTATAGCTTTTCTCTCTAAAACATCAGAGAAAGATTTGACTATGTAATTGCCTCAACATTCCCAAACTTACTACAAATTCCTGCTAACAGTTGTGGTCTTCTGCTTAACCCAGTGCAACCACTACATTCACACACGACACCAGAAGTACCTTTTAGCTATTTTGGATGTTGTCAGGAATCTAGGAGTGCATAACCTGGAAGGGAACTCTTCCAAGTACTCTTCCTTTTTTTTTTTTTTATAAGAGTTCTGAATTATATTTTATTTTTAAAAAATTGTTTATTTTTTACTTATTACAATTTATACATTTTGTATCCCAGCTGTAGCCCCCTCCCTCATCCCCCCCCAATCCCACCTTCCCTCCCTCATCTTCTCCCTTGCTCCTCCACCGTTAGGGGAGGTCCTCCTCCCCTTCTATCTGACACTAGCCTATCAGGTCTCATCAGGACTGTCTGCATTGTCTTCCTCTGTGGCTTGGTATGGCTACTCCCCCCCCCCCTCAGGGGGAAGTGATCAAAGAGCCAGTCACTGGGTTCATGTCAGAGATAGCTCCTGCTTCCCATTACTAGGGAACCCACTTTGAGACTGAGCTGTCATGGGCTATATCTGTGCAGGGGTTCTAGGTTATCTCTATTCATGGTCCTTGGTTGGAGTATCAGTCTCACAAAAGACCCCTGTGCCCAGATTTTTTGATTCTGTTGTTCTCCTTGTGGAGCTCCTTTCCTCAGAAAATTAGGAATAGTGCTACCTCAAGATCCAGCTGTATCACTCCTAGGCATATATCCAAAATATGCTCAAGTATACAATAAGAACATTTGCTCAAACATGTTCATAGCATCCTTATTTGTAATAGCCAGAATGTGGACACAACCTAAATGTCCCTCAACTGAGGAATGGATACAGAAATTGTGGTACATTTACTCAATGAAATACTACTCAGTAATTAAAAACAAGGAAATCATGAAATTTGCAGGCAAATGGTGGGAACTAGAAAAGATCATCCTGAGTGAGGTATCCCAGAAGCAGAAAGACACACATGGTATATGCTCACTTATAAGTGGATATTAGACAGATAATATAGGATAAACATACTAAAATCTATACTCCTAAAGAAGCTAAGCGAGAAGGAGGACCCTGGGTAAGATGCTCAATCCTCCTTCAGAAAGGCAAATGGGATGGACATCAGAAGAGGGAGAAAACAGGAACAGCACAGGAGCCTACCACAGAGGGCCTCTGAAAGACTCTACCCAGGAGTATATCAAAGCAGATGCTGATACTCATAGCCAAGCTTTGGGCAGAGTACAGGGAGTCCTATGAAAGAAGAAGGAGATGAAAAACCTGGATGGGACAGGAGCTCAGAACCTGTTCTCAGAACAGCAACAGAACCAAGTACTCTTTTTAAATGACAGGCACCTGCTACATTAATCTTTTCTCATTAGAAGTGGCTCCTTACTCTTTCTTGATCTTCATGAACTTAATACTGTTGAAGAGTATTCTGATAGTTTAAAATTCCTCTGAATTTGTCTTTTTCTGATTTTCATATAGCAATGGCATTTGTGTATAAGAACTATTCTTCGACAGAGGCCAATCCAGGCCTCACTGTTCTGTAAACACTGGTCTTAGTGTCCATGTATTTCCTGATAAAGGAAATCACCTCTGTCTGCTGCCCTCTTAGTCCTTCTTGACTTCTTAAATAGAAACACTCAAGACACATTGAGATCTACGGACTAGGACTGTTTCCGAATAAATCAAAGGTGACAGATGGGTAGGTAAGGGAAGGAGAGGCCCCTCCATCCTCAGAAGTTATCCTTCAGGAATTTGAAGCCAAGAGGGGCTTCATTTTGCGCCTTTGTCTTTCTAATAGCCACTTCAGTTCCCCAAGACACACAAAAGTACTTTGCCAAATACCAGGAAGAAAACTCTTGCTCTTTTCCAGGGATACATGACATCACTGATGCTTGATCCTGAGTCTGGTGAGGATACACTAATCACTTATAAATGAGTGGCTGTGGTGGTGTGGGGGTGACATATACATACTATTCAGGTGATCCAAAAAGGATGAACTATTCTAGTGTTAGATGGTAACTCCACTGTGTTCTGCTGTTCTCAGTGGATTCAGGAGTGATTGATCTCAAATAAGGCACAAGAATTAGACACCAGGTCAGATTTCTTGGAAACCAGAAATGTTGTACAGTCTAATGAGCATTGAATTTCTTTTATTATTATTATTATTTTATTTTTATTAATTACAGTTTCTTCACTTTGTATCCCCCCCTTGTAGCTCCCTCCCTCTATCCCTCCCAATCTCACCCTCCCTGCTCCTTCTCCACCAATGTCCCTCCCCATGTCTACTGATAGGGGAGGTCTTCCTCTCCTTCCTTCTGATCCTTGTTCATCGGGTTTTTATCAAGAGTGGCTGCATTGTCTTCCTCTGTGGCCTGGTAAGGCTGCTCCTCTCTGAGGGGGAGGTGATCAAAGAACAAGCCAATAAGTTCATGTCAGAGACAGTCCCTGTTCCCATTACTATGGAACCCATTTGGACACTGAACTGCCATGGGCTACATCTGTGCAGGGGTTCTAGGTTATCTCCACAAATGGTCCTTGGTTGGAGTATCAGTCTCAGAAAAGACTCCTGTGCCCAGATTTTTTGGTTCTGTTGCTCTCCTTGTGGAACTCCTGTCCTCTCCAGGTCTTACTATTGCCCCCCTTTTTTTCATAAGATTCCCTGAACTCCACCCAAAGTTTGGCTATAAGTATCAGCATCTGCTTTGATACCCTGCAGGGTAGAGCCTTTCAGACGCCCTCTGTGGTAGGCTCCTGTCCTGTTCCCTGTTTTCTCCCTCTTCTGATGCCCATCCTCTTTGTCTTTCTGAATGGGGATTGTAAGCACTATGCTTACAAAATGTGCTGTTCTAAAGCACAAGGAATATTGTCCGTATTTCCAATAATAACAAGAAAAATAAATCTCAATAGATTTCAAAGAAAGATAAGATAGAATAGATATTCTATGACTATGGGCTACTTGAGTTAGTGGTTCATAAGCAAGAGATGATTTGAAATCAGGTGTGATTATAATAAAGCAGTTCAGTAATGACAGTCCAGGGGTCAGAAAATTTGTCAGAGAAAATGAGAGCATGTTAGAAGGGAGGGGAACTGAGCACTAGTATAGAAAACCACGATAATGGAGCCAGGTGAAGCTGCTGGCCAGAGTGTCAGGGCATTGAGGAAGGTGGCATCTCATGGTTATCTTCCAACTGTTGGCCTTGAGCTTGCCACATGCGTGTGTTGCAGGTGAGGTCACGGGCAGGCTTGGCAACAACCGATTTCATTTCCCCAGGAATGAGTTCACCAGACTTCTCAGGAGCTCCTCTGACCCTGGGAATCCTTTTCAGTATTGTGTAAGGACAAATAGGAAAGGCAGAGTGCCTCCAGGCTGCAGCATAAGTGGGACCTGCCCTGGCAAGGCTCAGGGACAGCCCCAGAGCTGTGCAAAGTATCCCTGCATGCTTATCACTCCACGGTTTGTGTCACTGCAGGGTAAGAAATGTCTCCTTCTGTTCTGCCTTCTATTTAGGGGAGTGAGAATGGACAAGGCAGGGTTGTGGAGATAAGGTTTTAGACAGAAGCACAAAAGGAGGCAGTCAGGAGCGTAGGGCTCTGGTGGTCAAAGCCATGTGGAATCCTGAGCTGAGAAAGGCATTATCAACTGTGGCTGTACCATCCCTTTACCCTTGTGTCCCCATCCCCTAGGTTGATGCTAAGGACAGCCATGTTGTGGAAGGTGTCCCTGTTGGTAGGGCTGATTGTGCTAGGCACTCATATACGGACTATTGACAAAGAATTTGTGGACATTACTAAGGATCTAGATTATTTTGTGGCATCAGTCGAGTTTGTTGTGGCTCAGTTCAGTGAAAACAATCCAGAAGAGTACACATACAGATTGCTAGAAGCTGGGAGAGCCCAGAAAAAGGTGAGTCATGTGCATAATATTATCCCCTTATGTAGAACTCTAGGCTGGGGAATGGGTATCAGCAAGAACTGGTAAGGAGAGCACTGGGCCTGTAGAATACTCTACAGTCATGGGTCTGGAGACTTTCCCTGACCAAGGACACGTTTTTCTTATTCCCTACACGACTGTCTTGGGCTGTTGTTAGCCATGGGCCCTGGGCCTCAGAAGCCCTTGGTATCAAACATTCTACCACCTCTAGCTGCACAACCGTGGAAATGCAGGCTGGGCTCATCATATGCTTTTGAACATTGAGGTGTGGAACAGATGTGATAAGGTGAGTGCATTCTTGCTATATGCCAAGCATAAATATAAAGAGTGATACTGTGTTTTGCTGTGTTGTGTTGTGTGTTTGATGTGTGTTGGGCAATGGTGGTTGTTACTGTTACTTGTATGGATTTCTAAGTGCCCAATTTACTCATCTTTTTGGGCAATTTCCACATCAGTCTACTGACATGAGTGCTCTTCTCTGGGAGAATTTCCTGCTTGGATGCTTTCTGAGTTTTCACATATCTTTATTTAAGGGTATGACAGTCATTCTCAATAACTTCTGATAGCATCTTGAGCAGATTTTGAAATTCAGTGGTATGCCTATGAGTTCACCTCAGTGTATCTCTTAAAGGAGTACTGGCTTGTAGCCAGCACTAGTGTGCAAGACAGTAGATACCCCAAGTTACACATACCCAAACAAATGGTTTGTGACTGTCTCCTGTCCTAGATCACAGGAGTTGCTTAGAGGGCACTTCTTAACCTGGCCTATGCTGCTCAGGTAAATGTTCAAGAGTTATCACATCACCATGTGTGGCTGCAGCGTGTGCAGCTGGCTTGTTATGTAAGGTTTGATTGTGACGTCCATACTCCTGTGGAGTGTTAGACATCAGCAGCCTGGAAGAAGTCTGGTAAGTACATAGGCACATTTCTGTTGGTGTACTCTGACAGTGCTCGCCTATAGATGCCTATTATAAGCACATGGGCATTCTAGGCATTTGCCCATTTTCTGCTTGATCTTCTCTCTGTTTTTTTTTTATTTATGAAAACAAATACTTATCAGATTTTTGCACAATTTCTTTTCTACAGATATGGACACTGATTTTTTTAATGGACTTGGAGATGGGACGCACAATTTGTAGGAAACATGATGAAAACACCCATAATTGTCCATTGCTACAAGGCTCAGGAGAAAAGAGGGTTAGAGAATAAAACCATTCCCATTTATAACTGATCTTTTAGAAATGAAAAGATAATGAAACAAAGCTTAGGACAGGATTTGGGGAGGGTATTGGGAAATCCTGACAGAATGACGACACATTTCAGGCCTCCCTCGCTGGAAGCAGAACCACTTTTTCCTTTATTCATTTGTTGCTTTATTTTTAATTTTAAAATGTTTGCATTAAGTCTTTGAGAATTTCACACAATGTTTTTGGATCCTATTCTCTCCACAGTTCTTCCCTAACTCTTCCCATAATCACCCTCACTCCCCAACTTCATATCCTATTTTTTTTTAATTAATCCACTGAGTCCAGTTTGTTCTACCCATCTGTCCCAGGGTGTGGGGTCACCCACTGGAGTGTAGTTGACCTCCTAGAAACTACAAAAGAGGGGTCATTTTAAGCAGACAGAATCTGGATCCCAGGCACAGAGCAGCCTTCTGCTGCGGATGCCCACATAGGTTCCATCTGTAACAAAACTATCCTTGTAGTCCTGGACCTTGCTTTAGAGACCATCAGGATTTGGGAAGATGAAATTCTTCCTGTGGCCATCAGCCCTCCTTTGTTCCTGTCTTGGAGTTAGGAGCTATGCAATTTATCTGCCTACTCCAAGTTTATTGATAAATTCTGGGTGATTTTCAATGACATCATTGTCTTGTCTGGCATGTAATCTATGGGATCTAGGACCTCAATATGGCTTTCCACTGGGGGACTCTGCCAGTGTTTGGTTTCACCTTCCAAGTAATGGCCTTGGAGCAGAATCATTTGGGGTCGTCGTTTGTGCTACTATTCTGTTGGGAAGGGCCTGATGGGACCTTCTTTCAGTAAGTCCCTTGATTACTTCATTATCTTTTGGGTGGGTAAATTCATCCATCATCTTATGTTGCAGGGTGGGGAGCTGTGAGGACAGGATGCCTCAGGTGAAGAATCCAGATGGATGCTTTTGCAGGAGTCCCTTATCTTGGGAAGGAGGGCATTTTATGACTTGTGTCCATTGTACTAAGGGAAGTTTGAGCTTTATGATATCTGCTCTTGTAAAATGGTTGTTTCAACATTATTTTTTGAAAGAAAAAAGGCTTTTTAAAAAAAAATCTTGATACTGCATGCTGCATTATCTCAATGCATTATAATGTTCTGACTTATTTATTATGGTTATTTTTTTTTCAGGTGCACTGTGTTTTTCAAGTAAATGCCCGACCTTGGTTTTCCCAGTTCACCATCCTGAATAGCACCTGTGTACCAACATAAGTAGGACTGTGGCTTGGCTACACATAGTACTCTCCCTTCTTCTGGAGTGTGACTATCTGTAGTCCAAGTCTATGCAGTGCTAATGCAATTAAAAGCATCTCACCACTTCTTCTTCTTCTTCTTCTTCTTCTTCTTCTTCTTCTTCTTCTTCTTCTTCTTC